GTCTCCTCTCTTTCTCTCTCTTTCTCTGACTATCTATCTATGTATCTATGTATCTATGTATCTATCGATCTATTTTTCTCTCTCTCTCTCTCTTTCATCTAATTACCTATCTATCTATCTATCTACCTATCTATCTATCTGTCTATCTATTATCTATCTATCTACCTATCTATCTATCTACCTATCTATCTGTTTATCTATCTATCTATCGATCTATCTATCTATCTATCTATCTCTCTCTCTTTCATCTAAATACCTATCTATCTATCTATCTATTTATCTATCTATCTATCTCTCTCTCTCTCTTTCTTTTATCTGTCTACCTGTCTAGCTGTCTATCTATCTATCTGTTTAGCTGTCTATCTGTCTATCTTTAGTGTAATGTAGTGTCTGGAGTGTAGTGTAGTGTAATGTCCTGTAGTGTAGTGTAGTGAAGCGAAGCGACATCTGAACCTCCAAAAGTGGTCCGAAGCCTTAGTGTTTTGAACATTTTTACTTCGAAATGTCCTTCGCGCCACAACGGCGTGCACTTTTTCAACATCCGAACCTCCAAAAGTGGCGCGAACATGTGGTGCTTTGTACATTTTGACTTGGAAATGTGCTTCGCGCCACAACGGCGTGCACTTTTTCGACATCTCAACTGCCAAAAGTGGTCCGGAGCTGGTGTGCTTTGTACATTTTGACTTGGAAATGTTCTTCGCGCCACAACGGCGTGCACTTTTTCGACATCTCAACTTCCAAAAGTAGTCCGACGCTGAGGTGTTTTGTACATTTTGACTTGGAAATGTGCTTCACGCCACAACGGCCTGCACTTTTTCGATATCACAACTTCCAAAAGTGGTCCGGAGCTGAGGTGTTTTGTAGATTTGACTTGCAAATGTGCTTCGTGCCACAACGGCGTGCAATTTTTCATCTCTCATCTGGCCAGCTGTCTCCGCACCCGCCGCTTTAGCGAGCCTACTTTTCGACCCTCCGGAGCCCCAAATCATTGGAAAAACACAGTTTTTCGCGACTTTCCTACCTTTTCGCGCATCTCCATCTTCTTTCTTCTTACTCTTTCTCTTCTACTCTTCTTTCTTCTAATCTTTTTCTTCTCTCTGCCTCTTCCCTGCTCTGCTTTTCATCTGTCCATATTGTCGGAAGTTTGACTTCTAAACTTCCTTCGATCATGCTATCATTGTGGTTGGGTGATGATGTATGAATTCATACTTGAAAAATGCTACTGCAACAGTATGGATGGTGCGAACTTTTCTAATAATTCAATGTCACTGATCTACGGGTTAGTCGCCATGTATCATACGCTTGGTGGGCAAGATGATGGAACATGCCGTACATGGCTCATACCAATAATCAAAGCCTTTCATCAACAAGTGCTTCAAAATTTCATCCAGCAACAATCTTTTACTGATGCTAAAGATGTCAGAACAATGGAATTTCAGCCATAGTTCTGAACTACCATCCTTTTTTTGCCAATGTTTAAGCCCTACCCACATCATTAAACTTCGAGACCTTTGGTTTTTGGCAACAGCAGTCACGTTTTTTGTTGGGCGAATCCCTAAGATGTTGTTTCGGTGAAACAAGCCTGATAAACTGGTGCGCAGCTTCTCGAGCCGACATGGATAGATTTGTCGTGATCAGAACTTGAACATTGGGTGAAATGTGAGATTTTTACTGATGATTCTAGGATTCTAGGAATGATGATACAATGATTGCCAATGATCATTCATCAAAGGAAGTTTAGGGGGAGAAACTTCCGTGTTACGGACTTTTAGAATGTCAGGGAAAGAGTTAGTCAAAGAAAGAGTTAGTCAGGGAAAGGTTAGTTAGGGAAAGAGTTCATCAGGGAAAGAGTTAGTCAAAGAAAGAGTTAGTCAGGGAAAGGTTAGTTAGGGAAAGAGTTCATCAGGGAAAGAGTTAGTCAAAGAAAGAGTTAGTCAGGGAAAGGTTAGGGAAAGAGTTCATCAGGGAAAGAGTTAGTCAAAGAAAGAGTTAGTCAGGGAAAGGTTAGGGAAAGAGTTCATCAGGGAAAGAGTTAGTCAAAGAAAGAGTTAGTGAGGGAAAGAGTTAGTTAGGGACAGAGTTAATTGTAACTTTTAGAATGTCAGGGAAAGAGTTAGTCAAAGAAAGAGTTAGAATGGCATTGCAAGTGGTGCTGGTGGAGGAGTTGCCGATGGAGTTTTGAAGGAAGTCTCGCACGAAATGCGTTTTTGAGAGATAGCAGATGCACGAAACCCTATGTTTTTCCATACAAAGTCCGTCCCCGAACCTCGATGATCTACCTCTGCGGTGCCACGGGTGCGAGACGGTCTCGTGTGTGGTCGGATCATGGGCGGATCGTGGGCGGATCATGTTCGGATCATGGGCGGATCATGTTCGGATCATGGTCGGATCATGCTCGGATCGGTTCCGCATTGTAAATGGGGTTTCAACTGTTTTTCGTGCATGTGCGGTCGACAGAATTCCATTGTGATTTGCAACTGTAGGATCGTTCCCGCAATGTAGATGGAATTGCAAGTGGTGCTGGTGGATGAGTTGCCGATGGAATTCCATTGTGATTTGCAACTGT